TAAACTCTGCAGGAAAGTGGACCTCGAGTGCCAGAGTTGAGAACCACTGGTGTAACCTAATGTATTTTGATTGGTTCAGTAGTGTTAAATAGTATTTCTGACTTTAGATGTTATCGCATGAATCACATTTTTAAGTTTTAAAAAGTGCAGCTCATTTTTTCAGTGTGAAAATTAATAGTGAATAATATACCAAAGGTGTGGCAAACGGTTTGTGGTTTATATTTGACCCTGCTGATTCAGGCTGGCTTGCTGGTGCCACTCTCTTCATTACATTAAGAGGCTTGTGGAAACTATTTTTATCCATCGCTTTTCTGACGGAACATTACCTTTACGCACCATCATGCTGGTATGTGTATGTCTGTATTTTTTCATACGAAATTGTCACAGTATTTACTGTTTTTGGCACATTAGCTAATGTGTCTGAAGTGTTTATGACATTGGCATTAGTTCAGTGGTGTCAGTGAAGCGTTGAGGAGCTTTGGGGGGAATATTTGGCTGCTTTCCATGAAGCGTCCTCTTGCTGGTTTAAATTATGCCCCTACAGTATCTTTCAACACACTCAGAATACATATGGTTTGACCATATGGAAGAGTCGTTCAAAATATTGCCTGCTCATGTGAATGCTAATCATGCAAATGAGCAAGCTTAAATGAAGTTAAACATAGCTAAAGTATACAATTAAGGTTTGCATTTAGTATAAAGTTAAGGAGTTATTCTTTTGAGCAGTGACTGTGTGTTATATTAGACACGATCCTTACATGAATTTAAACCGTGATTCTGTAGCTCTGTCTGTATTACTGGGGATTTGCAGCATGGCAGGCATATTACATCAACCATCCGCTCTACACCCCACCAAGTAAGTGCTCATTATGTCACACATTACATTAGTTTGTGAGCCTCATATTAACTTCTGGTTGTTTCTCTAGCTTATGGGAGACTTCAGATCTACTCTGCACTGGCAATGTTTTTGGTATGTGTTTGATTAACCTATGATGATGATGATTCATATTTGAATGATGTAGGGACAGATTTCACATAAAGTTACATACATGCATTTACTGTTTTGAAGTGCTCAAAGTGGCACAAGCTGGTGACGTTATTTATGTGACCATCTACTCTGACAAGATGTCGTGTAGCCATATGTACTGGCACATCAAACGATAATGTACTTCCACATTATTTTAATTGTCAACCACTAGAGGACCACATGTTACGTAGTGTACAGTAGCTTTAATTTTACATAACTGTTTTTCTTCATCAGCTCTTTGTTCATTTTATTCAGGTCTGTGAGTTTGGAAATTTCTCAGTTCATCTGATTTTGAATCGAATCAGCTGTAATGGTGAGTCCTAATAAAGATTCATCTCTGTAGTTGTGTGGGCATAAACATGGCCAATCAAGACAGACAATGAAACCTAGTGATTATGATTAAT